CCACGGATTATTACCAAAAACTAATCAAAACCTAGCATTAGTTCAGAGCATGTATGTACAAAGCTTCATCAAAATCCAATGAGTGGTTGTTCAGATATCAGTGGAACAATCATGGAACAGCTATAAATCAGCTAATTATCATGAAAATTAGGTAATTAATATGCACGGATTTTTACCAAAAACTAATCCAATTTGCGCATATGTTCAGAGCATCTATGTACCAAGTTTCATCAAAATCCAATGAGTGGTTCTTTAGATATCAGTGGAACAGTCATAGAACAGCTAAAAATCAGCTAATTATCATGCAAATTAGGTAATTAACGAGCATGAATTTTTACCAAAACCTAATCAAATCTGCGCATTGGCCCAGAGCATCTATGCACCAAGTTTCATCAAAAATCGATGTATGGTTCTTGAGATAGCAGTGGAACAGTCGGACACACATACACACACACAGACACACTAACTGCAAAGACTCCCATTATGTGCTTCGCACATGGGAGTCAATAAAAATAACTTAGTTTGTGTAATTATTATAAAAGCAATACATTGCAAAGTTGAAATATTTAGAGCCCATGCAACACTGTAAACATATTTGCGTTATAAGAAAAGCAGCACACTAAGTAAACAATGTTGAAATATTCAAAGCCGATACAGAGTTGGATACAAGTTGTGTTATTATTACAGTACGCATACCAAGAAAGAAAAGGGCTGCTAAGGTAACGCCAGTTCAGTGCGTGACTTAGGGTCAAACTTCGGTCAAACACGCTTGATGTCAGCATCACCGCGTAGCAAGTTTCGCAAAGTACTTGAAGTTCAATTGTGCCCCAAAATGATGTCGACGATCACTTAATTGTCGCAGCGCATGTTGTACCAAGTCCATGATACACCCCGTTGGCTTGCTTTTCCTTCTTAATGTTCTTGTTCACGTAAAATGCGACCTCTCACCAATGTATTAAAACACTTTGAATTTATACTTATGCGTGATTATATTTGGTCTACACGAAACATTAATCTTTCTAAACATTTTCTGAGACCATGCATGATATATATTCACAAAATAATGTGATCATATTTTATATTATGTTGATCTCTACGTCTTTCTGGACCGTTTTGTGATTTTATTCCAAGGCTCAGGCAACTAAAATAATGTCAACTATTATAGACTAGTTTCCAAGCTTTTGGCTCAGCAAAATTGGTTTAATTTTTCATTGGAACTTTGTGATCCTTTTAATTTTCCAGTTCTTTGTGTTCATAAATGGTCTTGACAATAAGTGTGAATTGCTGTGCGAGCCTACCGCAGACGAACGTGGTTAGCAGGCGTCATGGAATCTATGCATTAATTTGAATAAAATGCGTTCGACCGGCGAGCACCCACCACCACTGCGGTAATGACCGCGATACACCGCCCGTTTGATTTCCTACTCTCCCCTAAGTAGGTGCTATGAATTGTGGTGATAATTATAAAAGATTATTTTTCAGCCAGACACACAATCATTTCAATACAAGCACCTTTCACTATCTTATGACTGCAGGTGTTTTGAATATTAAAATACTGGATTTTTTTAACATGTAAAAGCTGTTACTCAACCAAATATTGTCTAAACCACTGATGGTATAAGAAATATCACAAAATCTAATACTTACTTGTGTAACATAATTATTGAGATCATGCACCTTGGTGATATTGTTCAAAAGCTGATTCTTTGGAGTGGCTGTTGTAACTGCTGGTAACTGTCCAGGTTTACGTCTAGTTATATCAACAACACTAGGACAAGCACATACATCTTCTAATTCCTATTAAACACAATATGTAAGGGTGTATATCATAAAATTATACAAGATACACACACACTTCTATGACACAGGTGTATGTACCACTCTCTTCTAAGACACACAGCTAATGTGTTAACATAGCTTTTGCATTTCACTGGCTGCTAAGTGGAGACACACTGTGATGTGTAGCCAAACAATTTATTGCCATGTGTTAATGTTGATTCACTTACATAGTATATATTTACTTTGATTAATTTCAACTATGAGTTTTACTACCGTGTATTATATATGCTAGTATAAGCATGGAAGACCTTTGTCTGAATATGTCTTATCATACTGGGTGGTTATTAATTAAGCACCCATTTTTTGTGTCACTATTTGTCAGAATGAGATCACCGAAATGATTTGCATGTTTATAACATACCTTTTGTACTTGATTTGTTCTTCTAACCAATGAGAGTAACTGTGATGGCTGAGCTGTCTCAGAATCCAACTCTACAAAACCAGTCGGACTGGCTAATCCAGTTGGTTTCTTTGGAAGTATTAATGGATCTAGCGTAAATACAGCCTGTAAGAATGGTATGTGAAATTATACAAATACAAATTTACATGAGCAGCATGTATGATATAGATTCACGATTGCGAAGTTTGCACTATAGGCTCATAGGATAGTTATAGTTTGATTTATTTCCTCTTCAAATTTGTTGAGAACAACTCTATGAATAGGAACAAAATCTAAATTTTTTAGAGAAATATTTCATATACATTAACTTGAGAATTCTTAACATTTTTGAGACACCATTCGTCAGAGAATAAGGTAAAATTTGAATTCAGTCAACAAATGGAGAACTATTTTACCAATTGAACTCAAGTCAAATTGTGCTTCCCATCGAATCTTACCTTTGTTTGTGAAGATCTTAATCTGGTATTTTCTCTCTTCAGATGTCTGACAGCATTTCGCAATACATCCAACTGTTCTACTAACATAGGAGAGTCCTGTATGACAACCTGTGTACCCTGACCACCAGACATTCCTGAAAGATGAAAGTCAAATCACATTTAGCCATCCATCCATACCTTCACTGCTGGTGCACATGAAAGCTTTGTTGAATAAATGGACTCACATACAGCAGGACAATCAACAAAGACCCTTCCATCCTAATTAACAATCAACAACATACCAGGTGCAGATGCAGTTCCAGCTACGACTGCAGCAATTCCAGATGGCTGACCTTGGCTGCGACTCAGACCTTCCAATAAAGTTTTCTTAGATAATGTATTCAGCCTAGTTTTCAGTTCACTCTTTTCACGTTCCAATGCGTCAATGTCACCTTGCATGTGATCCAATGTCTCATCAAATTCTCTGAAAAATACATGAATGTCTTATATAAATGGGAACAATGACATTGTTTTTCAAATATGATACCCAAGTGCTATAAACCTATTGGGAGATGCAGGTATGTCATTGAATATGGGACAGTTGACGCCTCAAAATACAAATTCATGTTTTGTAAATAATTGTGTGAAATGAAATGTCATCACTGATTTGCAGGTAAATATGGTAAACATAAATCACAGCTGTGGCATAGTCCACCAAGCAACTGTTCTGGCTTTGCAACTCTGTCAAATCAAATGAATGAAGTATAAGACAAAACATAAAGCTAATAGAATATTATGATGATGATCATGATAACAGCACAGTAAATAAAGTCTTCTCCAGTCAAATGTTTATTATTTTGTGCATTACATTGTTCCCACTTCAAACATTGACAAATATGTTACTCACAACGTTTTTATTATTTGGCATGTATTGCTGACATCTTTTACACTCTCAATACTGACATTCAGACACACATTATAACACTTTAATAAATAAGTCCAATGTCATTGCCTTGTGTTTTCTACTACAATACAAAACTTCCAAACAAGCTGATACAATTATATCACCCACAACATTAATAATCTACAGTAAATATCATACATTTTTTATCACTCACAACTGATACCTTTTGTAATTCACAGTAAATATCATCACTCACAACTGATATATTTTGTAATTCACAGTAAATATCATCACTCACAACTGATACATTTTGTAATTTACGGCAACAATCATTTCTCACAACTGATACATTTTGTAATTCACAGTAAATATCATCACTCACAACTGATACATTTTGTAATTTACGGTAAATATCATCACTCGCAACTGATACATTTTGTAATTTACGGCAACTATCATTTCTCACAACTGATACATTTTGTAATTCACAGTAAATATCATCACTCACAACTGATACATTTTGTAATTTACGGTAAATATCATCACTCACAATTGATACATTTTGTAATTCACAGTAAATATCATCACTCACAACTGATACATTTTGTAATTACGGTAACTATTATCATTCACAACTGATACATTTTGTAATTTATGGCAAATATCACTCACAATTGATACATTTTGTAATTTATGGTAACTATTATCACTCACAACTGATACATTTTGTAATTTATGGTAAATATCACTCACAATTGATACATTTTGTAATTTATGGTAACTATTATCACTCACAATTGATACATTTTGTAATTAACAGTAACTATCATCACTCACAATTGATACATTTTGTAATTTATGGTAACTATTATCACTCACAACTGATACATTTTCTATTTTACAGTAACTATCATTTCTCACAACTGATATATTTTCTAATTTACAGTAACTATCATTTCTCACAACTGATATATTTTGTAATTTACAGTAAATATCACTCACAACTAATACATTTTGTAATTTACGGTAAATATCATCACTCGCAACTGATACATTTTGTAATTTACAGTAAATATCATCACTCGCAACTAATACATTTTGTAATTTACGGTAAATATCATCACTCACAACTGATACATTTTGTAATTTATGGTAAATATCATCACTCACAACTGATACATTTTGTAATTTATGTAACTGGTATATTTATTTTGAACCATAATATGGTTCCTACACATACAGACTTGACTTGTGTGTGCCCTCAGCACATACATACAGATCCACCACACACATACATCACTTTTGTGGCTTCAACATGCCTGCACAACTCATATGTGCTTTTGAGAAACCTGTATATACCTCCTGACAGAGGTGAAAGAAAGAAGTGCCCATTTTTGGGCTGTGTCCAAACAGGGACTAAAAATCTATCAATTTGGTGCACTGCATGATTATGCTATGTAGATAATGTTGACCAGCTGACCTGACCTGCTGATAAGGTTACCAAAGATTTAAGATGCCTACAGTGTATGTACAAGAAAAATGGATCAGTCTAACTTTAAGAGGTTAAAGTTCATTTGAACTTGGTGTTAAAGTATTTCCTAGATCACTTCTTAGATGAAATTGTTTCACATAATACATAGGGTGTTGTTCTCAAGCTTCAATTCCATGATGTCACCTGTTAAAACCATTACAAAGTAATTATTCTGATCTTGCTTATTACCTTTCTTTCTTTTTAGATACTTGTTGGAGTTCCTGTAGTCTCTTCTGTACCTTCTCCACCCTGTCATCTGCCTCTCTGCTGGCATTTTCCAACTTCTTCTCAACCAAACCTAATCTCACATTTCCTTCACTTAATTCTTCTTGCTGTAATGGTAGTATTATATTAAAACAAATTCATACACTTCTCAAGAAAATGGTTGGTTTTACCTTAGAAAGAGAGGGACAGGCAACTAGATTATAAAACAAAGGATTTCATGACATCCAGGGCGCAACGTGGGTTACTACAGTTATAAACAAACAACCCAGCTAAGCAAGTCGTATGACGTCACTCACAATCAATCGGTCGCACAGTTTGCAACACGTCTTTCAGTGCTTGTACTTATTACATCAAATTTTTACTAGATTTCAATACAAGATCCATTTTTTTGCACTAGTTATTAGGTAACACTTAATATATGTAGAGTTACAATTCGTTTTTTCATCAGTATAAATTAACTACTCGACTGATTTTATGTGTGGTGACAAATGGTTGACTACTACTTATCCAGTGACTGCCACATTTTTGCCCGTTTTCAGGAAAATAAAAACAGTTGTTGTTTGCATTATCGTATTTTCACTTAAATCATACTATTTTTAAGGATAATCGCATATTTTAGTTTTCCTAGTCTATATTTTGAAGTCATAATTCTGAAATTATTGAACTGTCTGAACGGCCGTCTGGACAGCCAGGACTTGTCTAGATTTTTTTTGATCGCTTTATTTTAGCCCGTTTTCTCAAAAATAAAACATATGTTGTTCAAATTACTGCGTTTTTTACTTGAGTCTTGCAATTCTCCAAATAATTAGGGTATTTGAATTTGATGACTTTCTTTACAAAAGTCGAAATTCAGAATTTTTCTAAACCGTTTGAAAACGTGTGAAAGTCGGCTTACACCGGAAATGGCTGACCTGGTTTGTTTTAGATTGCTGTAATTTCGCCCGATTTTTTAAAAATAAAACATCTGTCGAAATTCTTATTTTTCTAAACTGTTTCGAAACAGTGGAAAACTCATTAACATACAATTAGAATATTCATGACCGCCGCTTCTGTAGTCACGCAGGGAAACTCACCCGTTTTGCGCGATTTCACGAGTGCTGACGACAGTGCAAATAAACAGATGGTTGTTTATTCGTTAATAGGATTGTGAGATTATTTGAAGGATTATAATCCAGGTTAAAACAAAAGAAACACTGTAGTTGCCTGTCCCTCTCTTTCTAAGGTCTATGGTTTTACACATTCCAGCCAAAGGCATGCAACAAATGGAAACTATACTCATTCAATAAATTTTATATTGAATTCAATCATGGGATATCCACCTTGTACAAAATGCACCCTATAATGTGGTACAAACTTAAAGCTGAAACTGCTTTCTTACTTTTAGTTTGAGATGCTTTCTAAGTTCTTTAATATCTGTGTCTTTTGCTTCAAGTTTAAGTCCAAGACCTTCCATATCACAAATCTCGGCTTTTACTTTGGATGCACGTTTAGAAACAGGATTCACATGCTAAGTATGTTAAGAATAAATAAAAAGAGTTCAGTTAAAATGTAGCAAGTGACAGTAACAAATCACTTGTGTACTAAGAGCTAATAACTGTCTCTGGTTGATGACAGGATATTGCATTGAATTTCTATAATTCCATTATGATAGGAAACACACAGTGCTGTCACATGGTCACAAACATGGAATGTGATTTTGGTGGCACAAATGTACTATACATGTATATGTACTGTCAGTAACTACAAATGTATATCTAGTATTCTCAGGGTTTGAACATTGATGCTCAATGAATTTTCCCTGGTGCCTTCAATATTCCCTGTAATATTTCTTATGATAAAAGAATTTTATCAAATTTGGCTTTGAAAATAGGTACTACATTTCAACTTCGGAAATTAGGTCCCAACAATTTGACATACAACAATGACAAGACCTGTCAGATGGCATAACAAAGATTAAAAAAAAAAAAAAAATTGATATTCAGATAAATGATGAACATAATGTCAGGTAAGTATGAAGACAATTATAAATTTTACCTTTGGATCTACATTAGCCTTGCCATCATATTCTCCTTCCTGTATTGCCAGGCATATCTTATTGACAACTGTCACCAGCTTACTGCATGACCCTCTATAGGCAAGACAAGAATTCTTATTTTAGTTGGATTTATTGTTTTGTAAACTGACTGTCATTATCACAAATCAAACCCAACAAGGGTGATAACCATAATTCAATATGTTGGTATGATTTGAAAAGTTAGAAACCACATAATCAGATATTTATTGTTATTTAAAAATAACACATTTCACAAACAACATTATACTGTAGAACACATTGAAACATAAATGTAGCTACATACCATTTTAGTGGTTTTGCCTTTATGCATTATTTTTACTCTGAGTTTGACTGAATTGTCAACAATCTCATTGTGAGAATATACTTTACTCTAAAGTAGCGACATTTTAAATTAGTAAAATAACAGATTAGCTAAAAACAACAAGCTAACTAAAAAGACATGTTTTATGGTACATTTTTACATATTAACAACAATTTACAGTTGCACATATATTAGTGATATCAATAATAGAGCAGTAAATCATCCTTTGCCCAGTGTAGAACACTAACTGATCTGTGTACTAACATACCTTATACTTTGGTATGGTCCTTTATCTTCCCTTCCATACACTGAAGATGACGCATTGCATGCTATCTCATCAAATTTCTTTATGTTTATTCCTTCATGATCTGAAATGGACACAATCTTGTCTCAAACTCAAGTTGTATGCATCAAAGAAAAGAGAGCACTATGATGGGCAATAAAATAAATGCATATTCATTTGAGATGTTCAGCACATAATGATATCTGTAATGAACACAATTACAATGAAGACAGGTTACAATTCAAGCTGATTCTGTGCTGCACCTCAAATGATAAAATACTAGTTCTGGGACCCACTTAATGCCACTTTTTTGCTGCATCTCAAATGATAAAATACTAGTTCTGGAGCCCACTTAATGAAATCTCAACAGGCTGTGTGTAAAGTCATCAAAGAATGCATTATTGCTTAAATAACAACATTATGGTCAACATAGCTCTGTAGATTATTGATAAAGTTTATTTGCAAAGGAGCAGTTTATATAGCTGTTGTCATGGTGAATGCACTGTTGAGGTTACAATCATTCCTACATTTTAAGTATCAAAGCGTTAATATCTGTTAGTTTTCAAGAAGATGATGACAATATACCGATAATCTTTTACAAAAAGTGACAAAACTTGATTATTAATGATAAAGCTGACAGTGGCCCACCAAAAGAATCAAATACTCAATGTCAAAATACATTTCAAGACAAAGTTGGTAATATCATTTTTTTTCTCTCTCCTCAAAAAATTGAGAGTTGAACATAATAATAGAAAATTAAAAGCAGAGCTAAAATTTGTTTAAGCAATACAGTATATCTGTGAAACCAAGCAAAACAGTAGAACTATATCTGTGGAAACAGTATGTATGTAACCATGGCAATAGAATCCACATATTTATGTATGTGTGGAGACAGCAACAGGATAAGATGAGCAGTAAGTCAGTCATAAAAACATACATTGCCATTTGAAGATTTCCATGCTCACCACCTTTAACTGTATAGCATCATACAGCTGTACATAGCTAGAAACATTCTTATTTGACTCAATGATGACAAGTACACTCAGATATCTCAGCATTATTAACAGAAATAGAGATTTGTCATGATAATTATCTGATGCAACTGTTTAGTAAAAATTAAAATATTACAAGGTCACATGCAAAGCAATATCACAAGTACAATACATAAATCAATAGAAAAATATAAGTACTATATTGAGGTTAGTGTCTAGGTAAGTACTTGGTGTGCAACAGTGAACAGACAGTTGGATGAAAACATCAGAATAGTAGAGAGCAAAATGGAAAGATTGAATATTACACGGAAGACAAATGCATGCAATGGGAGAGAAGATGGTTGAAAGGTATAAAATTGAGAGAGAGAGTTTGCAATGAGGAAAGTCAACATGAGTAGAGTTGGAGAGAGAGTTTGAAATGAGGAAAGTCAACATAAGTAGAGTTAGAGAGAGAGTTTGCAATGAGGAAAGTCAACATGAGTAGAGTTGGAGAGAGAGTTTGCAATGAGGAAAGTCAACATAAGTAGAGTTAGAGAGAGTTTGCAATGAGGAATGTTAGCATGAGTAGAGTTGGAGAGAGAGTTTGCAATGAGGAATGTTAGCATGAGTAAAGTTAGAGAGTTTGCAATGAAGAATGTTAGCATAAGTAGAGTTAGAGAGAGAGTTTGCAATGAGGAATTTTAGCATGAGTAGAGTTGGAGAGAGAGTTTGCAAAGAGGGATGTTAGATTGAGAGTAGAGCTAGAGAGAGTTTGCAATGAGGAATGTTAGCATAAGTAGAGTTAGAGAGAGAGTTTGCAATGAGGAATTTTAGCATGAGTAGAGTTGGAGAGAGAGTTTGCAAAGAGGGATGTTATCATGAGAGTAGAGTTAGAGAGAGTTAGCAATGATGATTGTTAACATGTGTAGAGTTAGAGAGAGTTTGCAATGAGGAATGTTAACATGAGAGTAGAGGTAGAGAGAGCAGAGATGCAGAAATAAAATTTGATGATAAACCTAACACTGACAATTAAAAGATGTTAATATTAATGGTAGTTATGAAGCAATAAAAAGTGAGTATAAATGATATATAGTTACTATGAATTTAATCATCAGTGCAATAAGAAAGACCAGCTTGTTTGCTCTTACTGATGAGTGGAGATGATACTACAGTAGTCATGATTACAGAATGACAAGGAACTAAAGAGAGATACATTGTAATTAAATAAATAAAATTAGTAAGTAATTAAAACAGATCTGTAAAGACAGAGAGATTTCATTATTAGTAATTTATAAAACACATGCATCTATCGTGCAAGGAAACAAAAAAAAAACATCTGCATAAGTGTGGTCTTCAGTGTGACTGTGATCACAAACCTTGGCATTTCTTGTCAGCTGCTGGACTGCTACCACTGGTAAGGTCTAGAAGTAATAAATCATGTATGTATAATAAAATATCTACAACATAGATTAAGAATGATCACAGCTTACACACTTTTGGAACAGCAAATTCCTAAAAGCAGACAAAATTATTCATTTTAGTTGATGGTTTGACATTTTGAGAAATAAACTTAGGTGTCATGATATTTTTCAAACCTAAACAGGGTTAAGTTCCAAGTCCATGTGTGGGCGTTGGCCGTTTAATGAGAGGAACTTGACCATCCCAGAGGATACAGGCCAGGAAACATATGGGATTCTATTTATTTTAGAATACTTGGACTTCCTACAGGAACTCATAAAACTCATATTATGAGTCAAAGTTAATTAACCAGGCTTTACTTGAAGTCAAATATGGCAATGGGCAGTGGGAATATACCATTTAGAAATATTTTATTTGCTCTCCTAAATGAAAGCTAATGTCCTTATGATTTACCAGCTGTGGCCTATTTAAGGGCTACTAATATTGTACTTCACATTACCAAAAAAAAAAAGAAGCATATTACATAAGGGTACTTGACATTGTTTTTGAATTATGAACCTCTTATTACTTGCGCGTTGATAATTATTCTAATAAAAATCACAAGGTGAGTGTTTTTTCATGGGAACAAGTTTGGCTTTTAGTCATTTATTTTATGATCCCTGTCACACCACAACATATCAAGAATTTATATTGCTTTAAAAAATCCACATTTTTCTTTATTAGTTTTCTTTCTACACTTTGCCCCCCCCCCCCAAATATGATCCACCATGTTTTGTAGTACCTGCATTTTAGGTAGAGTCGTGTTCACATTATAAATCAAAATATCGCAATAATATTAAAAATGGTTAAAAAGATGCTTTTGGCACAAAGCATCAAATTCTACTTAAAACAACAAATTTGTTTGAATTGCCTAAAGCCTCAACATATCATTAAAGAAAAAGTCATGTCTAACAAAATAATACTCCCAGATGAAAGAGCTCGGCAAATGTAAGAACATGCAATTTACAGCTTTTTCAAATCACATTTCATTCTCTAGATATTTAACTTTTCATTCATTTATGTAGTCCACCATATTGATTCTTCAGCAAAGGAGTATGGGTAAAGTACGACTTCATATCCAGTTGTCAAAAATTGAAAAAATAATTTCATCCATAACTTCAAAAGTTGAACTTCAAATTAGCTGAAAATTTAGAACATGGTAGTATGCATGTTCCGGTGCCAAACATACATATAAAAATAGTTGTCATGACAACAAAACTGTAAATATTAATTTTTGTGTTTTTCTACCAAATTTCCTTATATTGTATACAAATTATCAATGTGAGTAGGCTATATGGGTGATATATAACCAGTTGACCACAGAAAAGGGACAAAAAAGTGTAATTCTACTTTGAACATCTAAAATAATGATTTTTATTGTTTTTACATTTTTGGCAATATCTTTATGTGTATTTGTAACATTATTGTAACATTATATACATGAGTAATATGCACACTGACAATATGAAAAAAATTGCATCACTATTTCTCACGTTATAGATGAATACATTTTCTCAATTTTTCACAACTGTGGATATGATGTCGCACTTTACCTACAACCCTTTGCTAGAAAATAAAGATGGAGGAATATATTAATACTGATGAAAAGTTGAATATCTGAAGAATGAAAAGTGATATAAAACAAGCCATGCATGGCACAGTCCCCGTTAGTTATCAAATTTAAGATATAGTTTTTTTTATAGTAATATTGCTGGAATATAACCATGACAGGAATATGATTTTTTAACATTAAAATGATTGACAGTTGTATCTGATCGTCAAACAAGAACAAGTCCATATTGAGAGATATTGCTCTGGAACAGCATTCAAAATCAGCCATTTTGATTACATGTATATAATATAACATGATGTATAACAAATATATAAAATTTAAATATAATAAGTCAAAGCATTTAAGAGATATGGCTCTAGAAGCCCAATCATTAAAACAAAATGGCCGCCAGTCAGGCATTTTGAATCCAATCTGAAAAATAAAATGACGAGCATCAGGAACCTGTAATGTCTAATGTATGTACCAAGTTTGAACGAAATCCACCCATAAATGCTTAATATTTGATGATTTTTTAGCACAAAAATGACCACCATTCGGCCATTTTGAA